CAACATCCACACGTTCCATACGACACAACGTCGGCAGCACCATGAGTACCACACCTTGATCTCCCCGTGCTTTAGAAGCAACATTTTTTCTCGTTGGAATTCGTAAAAAATGCTGTGCCATCGAAAGTGATGTTTATCACTTGCCGTCGTCGTAAACTCTGGCATCCTGAGAGGTTACGTTACTCATGTAGACTTGTCGTTCAGAGTTCTGAAACCTCGCATCCAATCCTCTCAAAACCACACACGACCGTGAAAATACTTCTTTTTGAAATAAAATTTTATGCTTGACGAAGAAATCTGTACAAATCAAGCCATTCACCCAATACTTTGAGGTAACGAATAACTGAGATGAGAAAGGCATTATCTATCAAAGGGGGTAAACGCTTGGTGACAAATCTGTTATTCTCATATGCAAATCGAGCCGTAGTCACTTGGTTCAAGGGCGTTGCTAAATCAGGAGACGCAAGACCAAACGCCACTGGGCCACATCTTACCGATGCATTCTCTCAGTTTTTTTTAGACAAAGATTAGCAGTTCAAGGATTCCCAAAGGCGCTGTGGCATTTACAACAAGTAGAAAACAACAGCAGCAGTCAGAAAAGTTGTAAACATTCTGCGACATGGAAGCTTGGATACGATGAAAACTACACATTCCAAAACAAAGGAGGGAAGAATTTGGTGGCAGGAAAACGGGTTGATTGATAGGCGCGACCAACTTGTTGACGGGGTGCGAAATCGTTTAAAAAGCGAGTTAACCGTGTTGCCACAGCAACAATTAAGTAAAACAAGGCTTGATTAAATCGGCACACTTGACGCGTGTGTGACACGAGTTCAGTGATAATTAGGCATGTGATGTGCATCAAACGTCAATTTTCGTGTGCACGCGGCTATTCGATGCCAGGGGCCATAATCACACACACACACACACACAACACTTCAATCAGCGCCAAGGTCAAGTAATGTTAGAAACCCAGCCTACACTCTAACAGGCAAGCTGGCTACGGTAATTGCGTTAGAAAAGAGCACACGACTTGGTTTGGAGGCTGTAAAACGCAGACTACTACATCTGAAACAAGCATTCCTCGGCTGGAGGCTAGGAGGTCCGCTGGCGTGTCTGTATATGCCAGCGAGGCTACGTGAAGCATCCACGTCAACCACACCGTGTCCGGACGTGTGCGAGAACCCGGATGGACGACGTGGCAGCATGGTTTAGGATGTTTTCACGCCGAGAATCGCCAGAGCACCGTTGAGGGGGGACTTGTTGGCTGTCCGTCTCAGCCCGCAGACGCGTGTGAGCAGACGGTCTTTATTACAGGCTGGGCGTCACCGTGACAATTTCACCGTAACGACGTTTTAACCTATTACCTCCTATCGCTAAAGCATCTCTAGGGCTTGTAAGCAGACGGACGCTGCAGCCGTAGTCTACATGACATAAAAACCAGGGTGTAAGGGGGGGGAGGTAACGCGTGGGATGCACTTGCGCATACCAATTAAAGCAATACGTGGTCCAGCTTCATTAAAGCTGATGCAGGTATGACAAGTTAGGCGTCAAGGGACACTCGCGTCTCCGCCTTGCACACGTGGCCCTTCACCTCTGGCCACCTGAACGGCCAGACATGTCCGCGTCGTGCGTAATGGGCCTTTTTGGATCCAATCGACGCGATTACTACGCCGAGGAGTTCACGTGTTGCCACCCTTGTGATTCGACAAGGAACCAAGAACAAGCGACCCGTAAAGGCCTACTTGATGGAAGTCCAATAACTATAGGGACGTGGTTTACGGATTTCACGCTAATCTACTTCAAGGTGAAACGGCTAGACGCGTGTTTAGTCTGGAAACGGTTTGAAGGCTAACCAAATTAGAGTGAAGTCTTCACAAGACTACCGTTTAATTAACTAAATTCAATAAGACGAAAAATAATAACTGTGAAGGGGAGGTGGCTTTGAGTGTGTAGACTTCAGATACTCCACCACTTTAAAGTAAACTGCATTATGAAGTACCAGTGGTTACCAGGTGTTTTGCAAAGTCACCACAAGGACCATGAGGTGATAGAGCAATCGAATTTCCAACAGGCTCACACCAGCGATTTAGGGATCAGTGCTGTGAAACCCCAAAATATTCTGCCACTGCGAGAGATCACGGCATTTGGAAATGTAGAGACGTAGGAAAAATGAGAAAAAAACAGGAAAGTAATCAATAACAACGCACGTTTAGCCTCAACTACTTTGACGCTCTATAATCGAACAGGCTTCATGCAATGATAGTAACTAGGCAACTCACAATCGCCACGCATAGAGAAAGCCGACAACACAGACGACGACGACGGCGGCGGAGGCGGCGCGGGGGCTCGAGACGGTGAGATGGAGGGAGAGCGAGAGAAGAGGTTGGATGGATCCGAGGTGAAAGACAAGTCGGGGTAGGAAAGTTTGCGCTGTTTGACTGGGGAGGGTTCCTGCTTCGGCGGGATGTGTGAGGTCGGGTAGTAGAAAGGCGCCGCATTGGTGTCGGCGAACGGGCCAGTGGACTTTCTCGCCTCGCCACCACCACCACCACTACCCGAGGCCAATTGTTGTGTGGGCTTGTCGACGATGAGCGAGGTAGGCTGCTGCAGCACCGGTGTGCCCTGCGTGTCCCCGTTGACTCCGCCTAGGTACCTGGACGGGAGGGCGCAGGGCAGGGAGATTTTGGCGTTGGTGCGGTCCCCGTCCGCGGAGCCGCTGCCCCAGTCGAATTTCCGCTTTTTAGCCGGCAGACGAGGCACGGCTTTTTCGGGGCTGGCGAGCGACGAGGCGGACATCTGCGAGGCCTCCGCCAAGTGCGCCATCGATTCATGCGACCAGGGTGGATTGACGTCGCTGAAGGCCCGGTGGACCTTGGCACCGTGCCGGTCGCCAAGCAGAGCTGTGCGAAGCTGCTTCAAGGGCAGCATACTGACGGCTTCGGTGGAAGAGGAGGACGAGGAGGCCTGAGTGGTGACCGAGGAGAAGGCAGACGCGTGCGGAGGTGAGCGGTTGCCTCGCACCGGCCACCTGTCTGGACTGTCAGTGTCTACAAAGACCAAACATACTTCTTCAATGGACCCAGATTTATAAATACTGGGTGGTGCAGTGCAGTTGGGCAGCGCGCAAGGCCACGAAAGGGGCTCATACGTTGGAATGAAAGACATCAGACCTAGGCGACATTAAAAGTAGAAACGACAACTAATTTGATTTTATTCATTTAGAAGCGTGTGGGCACAAACTGAAAAACCCCATTCTATCCAAAATTGGATTACTCGCAGAAGCAACTTAGTCGTCACAACAGTGGAACTAAAAAATGCGCATTTTGATTGCGATATGTTGATGAGCGAACGGCTTCATTGCGGTCAAAATAGTTTTTTTCACCATGATGCCTCAAGAGGCTGTATGGTGATCAGGTTTTGCGGTAAAATAGGACCAAACTATCAAACCCGTTAGCCGTTGCCAAGGCGATTAGTGAAGTGAAGGTCAGACAAATATTTCCGTAATTTATTTAGGTGTATGACTTAATTTGTGCAGATTTTTCTTCGGGCTCCAAATTAAATTTAAAACAGAAATATTGTCATCGTCTTTTGTGGTTTTAAAAGGATCGCAAGCAAGGTATCACAACACTGAACAACAAGTCCACGTGAGTTACGCAACCTCTCCGAGTAGCCGAGTTTACGACGACGACGGCGGCAACTGATAAGCAGCATGTTTGATGGCACTGCATTTTATACGAACTCCAACAAGGAAAAAAAATGTTTCCACAGCACGAGGGAGTCAGCTTGTAGTGTTCTTGGTGCTGCCGACGTGGTGTCTTATAAAAGACCCAAGCAGTTATTTCCAAGCGTTTGGACTACCAAATGGGAAAAACTCAAAAACTTGGAAGTTGGGTCCTCCTACGTCAACGTATGAAAACACGCCCTTCGCTTCTGGCCCGACGGCAGCAAGCAGTCAATGGACTTTCGTGGTAAATTGCGGCAGGAGATGAAAAGTGCATATTTTTTACGAGAATCCCAAACGTAGAACGTGAAACCGTGGATAACTCACTACATTGACATAGAAACAGGGAACCCACATGAGGAATGCTCTCCCGTGTGTTTGGTGGGACACATATTTTGCTTTAAACAATTTTTCCTGCCATAGGACATTCGTTTGGAGTCAAGGATTACTTTGACAGGTCTTCACGTGGATGAAGAGCCGTAACGACCTGGAGTATTTACCATTTACGAACGACCACCTTCGTGGTGCCAGGATTCTGACCTTAAAAGTTAGTCGGTTATCGGTAGGAATTTGTATCAAAGACCACCGTGACTGCCTTTTTATCATCTTAGGACCAAAATTACACTCTTAAGGTACAAATAAATGAATTAGAGATAACGGCTAGTGAAGGGACGTGAAATCAAACGCGTGGTTTTAGCAAGCGCACAGAATGACACACATTTGTCGTGATTGATATACACGTGCCCCCAGAAAAAAAGGTATTTTATTACCACAAAGCAATAAACAACATATGCACAAAAAACGCGTGTGATTCACCGCAAAAATTGCGTGGTTGCCCTAGGGGAAGCAGCAGGAGAACTTGACTGTGCTGAGCGTGGTAAAAATGTGCACTTGAGTGGGTTTTAAACAGCCCGGGGGGGGGAAGGGGGGAGGAAATAGCACACTTTAACGCACTAAAAACCTACCACGTTTTTCCTGTAGCAAAAACATCGAAAACATGGAGGCGAATTATCTTAGAGATCTGGGCAAGCGTGTGTGAGCGAGCGCCTATTGGTTGACAGTGGAGACCTTGCCGCGACCAATCGCAAGTCGCGGCGACAACCAGCGGCTATTTGAACGACCAAGTACTGCTAGTTGATTGGCTAGGCAATAGCATCGGCACGGGCAGTGTCGGGCACGAAGGCAGGGCATTTTTGGCCCCAGTTCTCAGTTCCTGATTGCGGAATTAGAGCCCGAAAAACTCGATGTGCCGTGCGTGTCGTGCACTTGCTCACACGGAATACGTCACTCGAGCGCTTGGTTCTTAAGTGATTGGCTTCGCTGTGGCGCGCTTGTTCAGTGCGCACAATACGGAGTTGGTGGGAGTCAAGGACACACGGGTAAAAATCTGACACTTGCGGAACGCGGGCGTGGTACTTTGGAAATGCGAAACAGCGGTTAGCGAGTGGGTTATCGACTTCCATGCTGGACTAACTGTCAGTTTCTTTAGGCAACACGACCCCCTGCCACAACCTAGATGGAATGTTCGAAGTGCTGGGCTTGATTTATGGTGCAGGTCGGAGAAAAAAATTTGCCCCACCCGACGAAGCAAAGTTGCGTTCCAAGCGCCACGTGTACACCCGACGTAGCCCACACGGGCATCACACAAGCAGCCTGTGTGGGGGGTTTGACCTTGGCGTGACGAATGACAGTTGAGCGCGTGTGACGTCTGACAGGCGCGCGCGCGCGCGTGTGTGTGTGTGCACCAGGGCACACACGCACAAGACGTGTGAATAAGGAGAAGCGACTGCGAGAACGACAACACACAAAAACCTCGGCGATTCACATGCACGCACACACACACGGGCACTTATTTTTAGACCTGTGTGTACCACTACCACCGCCAACACGAGCACTGCAAAAATCTGCTGGCATCACACACACACGCATGTACGAACACGGCGATTACGGAAGTCAAAGTACCCCAGACAAGGTGTTAGTGTTTATTTCGCAGGGCTGTACCCTTTTAACAAATTTACGAGCTGGACTTGGAAGTGAGAATGACGAAATGTGGCTAGACGCTACACGTGCTAACAGGAGTGCACACAAACACAGCTGTGATGAGATTGTACTTTTGTGAAATTGCCGAGACGCCGATCTGGCACACACCTAAGTGATCAAGCCGGTAATTCAGTTGCACCAGCAGGAATGTGTGGATTTATACCCGACAGGAGCAGGAAGACCATTGTGATCACGACGGAGGTCTACGTAAGGAGCCTTGGAAAAGCCCTCCTTGAATAAGGGGCAAATTGTGAAAAGGAAAGACAGTTGGCACGGTGGTGTCCGTGGTAGAGCAAGGGTCAACTCACATCGACGCAAAGGAGACGGTCATTAAGGCCTAGATGGACAGCTACTAGACGGACGTAACAGGTGGTTAGGTAAGATGTGGTCCCTCTTGCACAAACCAAAGAGTCAAATGCCTAGACAACTACGAGCTTCCAATAAAAACTCATATATTACCAAACAGCACGGCGCTAAGAACCGACGAACAGCACGGACCGAGTTCTACGGCACTCCCAGCTGCATCAGAAGAAGGAGCCCCAGTAAATCAGCATATGGTCTTGAACCACGCCGGGGCCACGGAATTAACCCTGGCCCGATTACGTTTCCCTGATATACGCGATGAAGAAAAAGACTGGAGAGGACGTGGACACAGCCGTTTACTTCAGAGCTCAACCGCGTTGGTGTCGTGGTGTCGTGAGTGGGGTTTGTGCGTGTGTATTTATACCTCGGATATGAGAGTCATACACGCGCTAACACCGAGACCTAGGTGCGAGGATAATCCAAGATTAATATTCGTGTGAATGAGGGGTGGGGAGTTGAGGATCCGCGCGGCTGGCGACATGCTGCGAAAAGGGGACCCCTATGTCGGAGGTGGAGCGACCGGATTAACGGGTGTGAATAAACACGATTCACAACAGAAGATTAATGAACACACACTCCACTGTAGCGAAATCCCCCCACCCCCCCCCGCTCCTTTTAGAAGTTTCCGGTAGTCCCGTTCCGCATCCGTGGCAGTTTAAGTGCGTACGAGGGCCATGACAAAGGGTAGATCTTCTGGGTGTACCGATGTTGCTGCGCGTAAATCCAACTGGAAAGCGGAGAGACGGGTGCGGGACATCGGCAATAGGAAACTCAGTTTAACTGGAGTCTCGCCTCCTACGCAAGTAGCAGAAAATCGCTAAGCTTGTCCCTACTTTAATCTCAAATTCCTAAAATAAAACAGCCATAAAACAGGGTCCACGACTGTAACGAAGGCTCGCCAACGCGTGTCGCCGTCTGTGTCTGGATTTTTTATACAATCAGGGCGCTAACAGCCGGGAACAAGCATAAACAAGAGTGGCGCACAAATGAAATTGAGCATGAGGAGGACCAAACGGAATGGGAAGCAGGCGACTAAGAGCAGTGATCGGGCCATAAACCTCTCACGCTTGACAATCTGCATCCACATCGGCCTAGGACACCTCGAATCCCCACGCCCGAAGAGTAAATCAAACTGGACACTCCGTAAGTTGTCAATGACCTCAATGGCAAAAACCAGACCCCACCGCCCAGTGCACAGGAGGTGGTGGGTTTCAGCAGATTCGATTTACACTGACATCACCAAACCCGAAAAAAGGCGGGGCAGAAAATGTTGAAACGATGCGAGAGAACAAAGACCACGTGGTACACTACCTAAGGCTCTGTCTGCGTATAGGCGGATTAAGCGCGATACCACGTACACCCTCCCCTCGAGCTGGATTAGTCTCGTGAGATAAAAGCCTCGATGTTTTCGGCTGAAGCGTGTGCAGGAAGTAACGTGTTTGTGGCTGACCAAAACCGCAGCCGAGAGCTGACGTGTGCGTGTGTGTGTGAGCAAAAGCCCGTAGACACACAGAGGTGCATGCAAAAACTAAGCTACACTTAACCACCACAACCCAGTTAGCACGTAGCTACCGAGACAGGCACCGGGGTAGCCGATATCATCAGATTTCACCAAAAACAATTTGGTTTACTAAAAAGAGGCGTTGGAATAAGCAAATAGGACCAAGAGTTAACACTTGAAATGCACGTGTTTGATTCGAAAAGAAACCATGATTTCACAGGCACAAACAAACGACAGAATATCACCAAAGTAACATGCTTTCGCAATAAGGTTATAAGGAACGCACTAGGGGTCAGTGGATTTGAGTCACCAACTGGACAGGTAAGCGTGTCTTTCACTAGTGCTGGCAAACATTTGCTGCCCCGTGACCGACAATTGTGCGCTCGAATCGGCGACTACATGATCGTCAACTGGTGCTTACTCCTACGAGCCAATGTTGACGACGTTTTACTCTCAAAAGGAGCCATCATCAACAGACTTTTGTTTCCAGACATGGCGTTGCCTTGCCGGGAGAGTTTGTGCAATAGGCATGGTGTTTTGTGCCGTGTTGTCGGCAACACAAGGAGGCAGTATTCGATATTTATACCGGTTAGGCATAAAAAAAGGACTTGTAGCACTGGACACTTGAACGGAAGACGCTTAAGACAGGAGACAACAGCCGTGGAGACTAGTCATTTGATAAACAAGGCAGAATTGCGACTTGGTTGTCGCGCACGTGATTTCTAACCGTAGTTGAAATACAGCAGTAAGTTTTTGTGTGACAGTGGTTTCAGTTATTTATCTAGTACCTACATTCCAATCAAGTCACTGTGTTTGGTAAACGAGTGTCAGGGAGAAGCGATTCCACTGGCACCAATTCGAGAAACCTAAGCGTGCTTTGGCGAATCGCTCTCTCACGTTTCACTTTAGACACGCGGAAATCGGTGTGTGGCCAACAAAGACGAGGAGAGCCCAGTTTAGGACTGGGACTCCATTCTTAGTCACAAGTTGTTGAGGCACTTCACAGAACTAATTCTCTACCTTCTCTTACGGCCAAACAACGATGGTCAGGTAAGTTGCTCAGTAGCTTGAAGGCCACCTAAGGTGAGTACGCACTAGCGGATCCTTACGACTGGTAGTTAATGAATCAGTGGAGTGAGATTAGTGTTAAGACAGTGTGTTTACTTGAAAATGGCAGCAAACAGCCAGCTGAGACCAAGCCGCCACCATTGCGCTGGCGCGAGGAGAAGACAGTCTTGAGGTCTGTTAGGGAGTACTCGGGCGAGGCCGATGGGGTGGCGTTGGCACACGAGGCGTAGTACTGCCCGGCACTCATTTTCGCCGGGGCAACGAGGTCATTGGTTAGGGTGTGGCGCTCGGATGCTGTCATTGGCAGGGTCTCCATGCTCGACTGAAACTGGTTGCAAGAAGAGTGGTGCATGATAAAAAAAATTGCAATGCAGGCTGCGCAGGGTGCGTAGCACCGCGAAAACGGGTACTCACACGAGGCCCTAGGTGTGCACACACGCACAATTACCACAGCATTTGCTTTTGTGGCACAACACAACTTATGGGTACATTGTGTCGCAGTCAGTACCACGAAGTCTGTTTCTGCAACCTATGGTGCTTCGCTAACTACAAGCCGATTTGTTAAATAATAGGATGGAGTAGTTTTCTTGGCCAGAACAATGTGTGATGCTAATACCAACGTAGGTATTCCGATAATTACGTACATGGTAACCGAATAGCGGTTAATTCACTGTGAAATATTGTAGTAGTCACTAGCATTCAAGACCACCTTTTCACTTTGTTTAAATTAACTAACTTGACTGCTACGTTTGATGACTGAAGCGGAGTTCGTCTCGTGTGTAAATACTGACTTAATGCAGGCTCAGGGGTTACCGACCACGTAATTGCAAAGCTGTATAGCCACAGACTGTAGACAGACTTTGTACCATGGCAAAATAGGATTTGTTCGATCAACACAAACATTACTCTGACTACGCCCTAGAATGACGAAATCGGAACTGAGCGGAACAACATTTCCACAAAAATGTGCTTTTATAAGGCTAGAGTATTGCAAACTCCTTTTTTTAAAATCGTTGCAACCCGAAACAGAGCTCCCCAATCAAAGAAGTATTATGATAAGTGCAATAACTGATTAATTGCCAATTTTACGAATGACATCAAACTAGTTAAACAAGATAAGGGTCTGATCGCCCGAAATATAAAATCAAAAGAATTTGAATTAGTCTAGAAATGGCACATTGGTTTCGGACAATCAATAACTAAGAGCATTTGCGAAGGTAATATAATGGCAGCTTATAACTTAAGGTATTAGGTAATACTAAACACTCGATGAATACAAATGATGCTTCATGCATTTAAGAGCCAAACATTTTAACTAGATAACGTGCAATAAGAGTGAAAAACAGGAAACAGACAAGGATGAGCAAAGTTTTGTATTGGATTTAGTGCACAGAATTGTAGCCTGTGGATCCGAGGCTCTTCCATTAAGTCATTGGAGAAAGGCTTCGTAAGGTTATTGAGCTCCAATGATAACCGCGGAACGGGAAAGTAAGAACAAAAACGTCTACAGTGAACGCATTTACTACTTAGGTAGAAGGAATTTTCGAAATTACACACATTGAAGGCAGAATATTATGGGATTACATATGTCTTATGGCAAACCCATCATGTATTCCAATCAACGGAGCAATTTAACTTAATGACGTTTAATTTCAATTTTACAAAGAGGAACAACAACTTTTGATCACGTCAATCGTAAATATTAAACATTAAGACGTGTCATTGTTACAGACTGCAACACGTGATCTCAATAGTACGGAAAAACGTACAGGAAAGTTTTGCTTAAACATTAAGTTCAAAAAACTGTTTGGTCAAATTTTTATAACAGCAAAGCTTAAAAATAAGTAAAAACTATATTCTTCAGCTGACTACTTTCCAAAAATTGCACAGCACTAAGAGAAAAAAATAAGGAAATGTGAGTTGTGTAGACAGTGGCCTTTAACCTGAAACATGCGTGGCAGGTTTGACAAATTATCTATTTGGGACAAATGACATTTCAAGGATTCCTTAATCCCGATTGTAATTTCAAAAAAATCAACCGAGTCGACGATAAATTCAATGGAGGCCATGCAATTTATGCAAACAACAGTATACTTACACTAAAGTCCGAAGATGACAAAGATGAAAATGTTGTTGAAAATCTTCGTTGAGGATTGTGAACCAATGAATCTCGCTGAAACAGGTGATCTTTGGGTTGAAAACGAACTAAGTAAGCAAAGGTTTAGGCATGTACTTAATACATACGTACCACTTTTAACAATGTCCCGCTCAAGTACTTCTGCTGCAATTAACAAAGTGTCAATATTGGCCTTTTCCTCAATTGCCATGTTAACACTGTATGCCACAAAAATTGTGCATAAGGAGACACCGGTGGCACGCAATCAACCAGCCTTAACTACGTTTACCGGTGAACGACCTTCAATGCACAAATCAGGAAACAGGACGGCTCATGTGACCTCACTTATCGACTGACCTTTAGGCTGATCACAGGATTGACGTCAAACTATACACAAAAATTTCGAAGTGAACAATATAAACACACACGAACGAAAAAGGAATTACAACAAAAACTTCATATTTATAAAAATGTATTTGTCCTTTATTGCTCCCAAGATATTTTTAATTAAAAAACCCTTACAATTGCAAATACAACAATTCAAACCAGACTAATCTATAAATGATGCAATTTCAAAAAATTTCACAAAAGTACTTGAGATTGCTTCAGATTTAGCATTCTGTACTTTTCAATTTCCCTTAAAAAACCAAAAATAGTGATAACATGAAGAACAATATCAGGGAAAAATACACCCAGAAATAAAATACAATGAGAACCTATTCAACAAAAATGAAACAAGTTCAAGCAAAAAGAAGTAACACAAGAATTAACAGGCAAAAACTAGATATTTTTATCCAAAAACCTTCCTATGGAAATCTCTTACCCCCATAGAGTTTAAAAAACGTTTAATTTAACGCCAGATACATTCGCAGGCTTCGGAAATACACACACAAATGTTTAAATGTTAACTTTAAAGTCGCCATGGGCTCCCCCAAAGGAAATGTCAACATGGCATGAACGTAAGCATTTGTTTTTTAGAAAGACGTATAAGCGAATATTTGAGACAAATAATTTATCATCTGCTCTTTAGCTTACGAAAGGTTTGGAAATGCAAAATTTTCCTGTTCGTTAAAATTAACCATATTGTAGAATAAAACAGGGGTCTAACTTTTTTAATGGTGCAACAGTTGGTTCGAAATAAAGTTTGATTGTGTCGAAACACTAACATTCTATCGACATCACATATTGTAAATTTTTTTAAAAATAAAACTAAGCCGAATCCCCTGAAGGAAGCAGCGTGCGGACTTGTCTTATCCTATAACTTGCAGCATAATATTCTATATATAAATTTAGAATATTTTGTTGGCTTCAACCTCTATTAAAACATGTTACATTGATTGTATTAAATAGTTTATGTGTTTAAATAGCAAAATTATGATTACTTGTAGCACCTTTGTCAATGCGTAAAGATGCTGAAATGTTGTAGTGCTTTAACTTAAAGTTCTTTGGCCTCCTTGTCATTTATTTTGTTGGTCCTATATTCGTCACGGGGCAGCTGACTAACGAAGCATCCACGGTGCCCTTAATAAACATTTTGCACATTTTTAATAGAAACTCGTAAATGTAAAGTGATAAACGGCAGAAAGTTATAATGGGTTTTTTTTATTTGAATACTTTGATTGCTTTCAGTAGGTAAAATGAAGTAAGGACACAAAAAAACTCAAAATTTAAGGCATTTGTGTTCGTCAATTGTAATAATATAAATGGATGAAGAAATTTGCAAATTAACTATTGACTCGATAATCATGAAAAAAATTACAAAGTTCATAGCGAATAGTTGGTTAAAAGTGAGGTAACCGTAAATAACTCTTAAGTTCGACTGGTTGCATAATAATTGGGCATCATCTAAAAAGGGCAGAAAAATCAAGAGTAAACATCTATATCTGGCAGTAACATATATGCTGGTGAAAGTTACGAACTAATTACCACACGGAGACATTCAAAAACCAAATCAGCCTAAATTTAAATTTTCTTATTTCCAATAATTACATTTAGGTCATCCAAGCGATGATGGCTTGGAGCATTCTCTGCTTGTAAACAATTTGTTGCTGTGCCTTGTCTCTTAAACTTATGTGCATCCACTCACGTTCATTAGAATTTTTTGCTTTTCATCTTTACGAGTAGGGACCCAAATGTTTAATACATAAAAAAGTTTTTTATTAAGTTTGCAATTATTTACGTTTCTAAGGCAAACAACTATCTGCAGCAAAGGCTAAATAATGTGTTTGCAGAAGTGCAGCTTATTAATCGCTGATGAAAAATGCATCGTTGTTTATCCGAACCTTTAACAAGCGGCTACTTAAAGTCGCTGTTCTATTAGGTGTGTTGGTTCTCGCCGTATCTGCTCGTCCTTGAATGCTACGAATTAATAAAACATTTTTGTTTGATGCTGATGGTTACTTAATGATCAAACCTAATTTTTTGTTAAGGTACCGTTTGGGATGCAGGTGGTCTCATCAAGGGCGCAGCTGAGTTGCTTCGTTACCTTAAGCAGTCAGGTCGGCGTGTTTTTCTTGTAACTAATAACAGTACGAAATCTGTGGAAAAATATTTGGAAAAATGCCAAAAGTTGGGTTTATCAATGTCACCGGTTTGTTATTTTTCATTTCGAGTTTTTTTTAGTCAGAAATAGTATGCTCTGCCAATATTGCTGCCAACTTTCTGTCCTCAAAAGGCATTAAAGGTCCTCTCTATGTGATCGGTGAGTCAGGCATAGCAGAAGAGCTTAATAAGGTTGGAATCGAACATTTTGGAATCGGGGTAGCGTATGTTTATTAATTTACCCTTTCCTAGGTTGAGAATACGACCTGCAACGAATTTAACGCCACTCACCTACGCGAAAACGTAATATGAGTACCCATCTAAGCAAATTTTTCTGTAGGTACCTGGTATTTTGGTTGGATTTGATCGCTACTTTAACTACGTCAAACTCATGAAGGCAGCAAGTTACTTATCTCGAGGTTGTCAATTTTTTATAACCAATGAGGATGCATTATTACCATCTGCCGATTTCGCTTTGCCGGGTAATTTTAGTGTTGTGCATTGCGTCATCCTTATTCATGAAAGTTAAACGATCAAACTATTTCTTCAAAATAGGAACAGGTGCTATAGCCGCTGCGGTTCGAAAAACAAGCACTACAGAACCAACTGTTTTTGGGAAACCCTCCAAAGCAGTTTGGAATTTTATCAAAGAAAAGTACGGCGGTGACGAGAAAACAACCATTATCATTGGTGACAGGTGACGTTTTGGTTTTTCTTGGTGTTTTTGTTATTGATTTGTAAATTATTAATTAATTCCTAGCTTAATATTGCGAACTAACCCGTGTCCTGAAGTTCTTTTGGTGTGCTTATGTAAAGGTCCAACACACGCGCTTGCATTTGTGAAAGTGAACTGAGTTTATTGGGTCGAAATCGCCATATTGTTTAGATATTGTGCAAAATTCAAGATACCAACATTGTGACGTCAGTGCACCCGCAAATAAAAAATCAAACAATCACGGCAACCTAAACCACTGAGGTATACTAATCCTCCCCGCATTGTATCAATGTCTTGGGGTCCATGTCGAACAGGAACTCGTGTTTAATGTGCACGTTTTTTTTGTTTTCAAGACTCGATACCGACATCCAGATGGGAAAGGTGTCGGGACTGCACACGGCCTGCGTCATGAGCGGTGTTACGTCGGAATCCCTTCTGGCAGAAGTCCGCTCTGATCCAGCGAAGGAAGAACTGCTAGGGCCGGAGTTAGTATTTCCTAGTGTTTTAGAAATTTATCAACAACTCATCGAAGAGGACAAAATGCCGGCAGAGCAATAATGATGGCTCTTGGATTGCACACCCACTTTTATGCTCTTCCTTACAGGGCTCCGCAGGACTAGTAGATTTGATATTGATTTTGTTAAATTACATAAGTTTCATTTTAAATAGGTTATATTGCTTAACTGCGAGATTTCTGAATTCGGGTTCGAGAGGTGATTTGTTATCTAGCTGGATCATTGGTTTGGCTGCGAATGCACAGTAGCCCGCGATCCGGGCACACACGGTATCCCTGTTTATAGCAAAAAAATCTGTGTCGTTTCCTCGTTGGGAGGATTTTGTTACGTTTATCTCGGTGTGTAGATGCAAATCTCTGAGCTAATAGTTGGAATGCCTTGTTTGGCACGTCGAAGGCCAATCCTATCGATTAGTCGTCGTAGCCACCAAACGACCGAAGTGGCAGCAGTAAACGTGAGTGTATGGACATCACAACACACTGTGTTAATCTACTTCTCTTGGGAAATGTGGACATCCCCCGGCAATTTATCAAGTAAAAAATAATAAATTGCTTAACTTAAGCAGTCTTGCGTGCAAAACTGCCAGAGGGAGGGATCGTAATAACGTAGTTACAATCTCAGCTCCTGATATGTTCGATTTTTTGTCAACAGTTTCAACAAAACAGTTGTTCTTGGAGGTGTCTTTTGTAAACAATGTCGTGGAATTTGGATAAACACTGATGTCTACCAATTAAGTCACGAGCAATAATCTAAATATTATGATTATGGCGCAACAGCGGCAATTTATCGAGGTGTCTGTTGAAAATTTGGTAAAACGCTCGCTCAACAGTTTCCAGTGTGAACCTGGCGCTGGAGAAGATTATAAAATATGCCTTACTTTTAGGCTGAGGTGATGTGACATGCTCGATGTGGGAGCTCAAATCGGCAAGCGTGTATATTTTCTTCTAAGATAACTTCACTTAGCCTCTGCACTAGGAACACGGCAAGACGTAGCAGAGACGTAAACTAACCCAAACAGTGCTTTTAAATCGTCACTCTCCGACACTCTACTGGTTGGCAGTGAGAGGGCGTGATACGAGCCCCGAAAGCTCAACTCTGCCTTTTGCAATAACCCACGTGTCTCGCCCACACCTCACCCATTTCACCAAATTTTGGACACTCCGCAGATTGGCTGCATTCAACTACATCGCGGCCATTACCTGGGTTAATCTGTCAGGACGCTGTCCAGGGGAAACAGGGACTATCTCGACTTGTGGGTTAACTTCCCAACCACTTGCATCCAAGACAAACTACACACACACACACACGCTTAGAGTTAGCCTCTTTTATTGCCAATAACCCGAAAACGATTGATTGTTTGAAATTTAGCAGTGAATAAGTATACACATCCCAGGAATTCGAGATAAGCAAATATCAGATTACAAGGCAAGTAGTGTAGCAGAGAGACTGACTAGGAGATAAAACCGGCCGCGGTGAAGACAAGAGCGCGCCCAATCGCATTTACACATGCACACACACACGGGGTGGGGCGGGGAGGAGGTATGTACACAAAAAATTCAACGTCGTTCGGACTGGAAGAAGTTGAGGATGGTTTTGGCGGCGCTTGCGATTTCGTGGGCAAACGTGATCAGCTGACTGCTCGCTGCTGGTGCACCACCACCGCCGCCGCCGCCGCCTGATGCCTCGCCGGCGGATGAGTTTGCCTCACAGTACAAGCGGAGTTTCTGCGAGTTCGACATGAGGGTGGTTAGGGCCGTCCCGATGGTCGTGTGGCATTTGCTGATTGGCGGAAACAGCACAACCAGGTCCTGAACGGCGGCTTGTATGAGTTGAGACGATCGGATCTGTTCGTGCGACCGACGCGAATTGGCAGCCTGGGTGGCATTAAGCAAATGCACTTGAAAGGGGTCAGCTATGCATACTAACCAAGCAACCTTCTCATGGGCTAAATTAGTTCGGGTCTGTGCTACGAATGTGTCTGAGTTAATTTTCAACAGGAAATCGGGCCGACAGGCGCTATTATTTGTGATATGATGATCTAGCAACAGTCAACAGTACTAGGTGCGTGAATTAATTTTGCACAGACTTTTCAAAAAAAAATTATTTGATTTAAAAGAATTGGGAACAATGAACTTAATCCTGCTGATATTGCCGCCGCAGCCGCCTCCTCCTTTGCAAATATTAAGTGTACGACTTAATTAGTGCAGATTTTCAAAAAAAGGTTCCTTGACTTAAAAAAATGAGTTCAACGAGTTTAATCTTGCAAATATTGTCAACCGTTTGCTGCGACCTGGCACAATCTCTCAGGTAACGTTCGAATGCCATCGCGAAAGGAACTTGCAGATTTCGAGGCAGTCAAGTCATCATCGACGACGAATTTACCTACACCGTGGAGTGTTTTGGGAACTGGTTCTCCACTATGGCGTGCTGCTGCTACTGCTCCTGGTGCATTGAACGCAGCAAATGGTAGTCGGATGGGGCCAAGTCTGGTGAACATTCCGCGTGTGGCTGAACTTCCCATCCCAAGTTTAAGGCGATCTTCTGAGTCGCACAACCAACGTGAGGTGGTCGAGCATTGTAATACAGCAGCAGCAGCATCAGCAGTATGACTTGCCTACTTTCTTGTCCAGCAAATGGCGTTTTCTGATCACGTGCTTCGCTCAGTTTATTCAATTGTCGGCCGTAGCCTTCCACAGTCACCGTCTGGCGACCAATTTCTAGGAGTTTGCAATAAAGCACATCCCTCATGTACCCTTACCACAAACATCGGGGAGCCTTCTTCAAGTGGATGTCCCACTTCGGAGTCGATGCACTGCCGAGTTGACAGGGATCTACCCACAACTTGGGACACTTTGGATTCCCGTAACGCGCGCCATAATTTTTCACAAAAAGTCCATTCACTGCTTGTCGCCGGTAGGCAAGCAGTGGAAGGCGTGTGTACATACGCTGATCTAGGAGGTTGCGTTTAGTCAACAGACGTGAGGGTACCCAAAACCCACGCTTTTTTTCCATTTGGTAGTGAAAGCGCTGTTTGGCTGACTCCTGCTTCAAATTCTTGCGTTCGCGTTGAGTCTTCATCCAGTAGAGCTTGCAATTCCGCATCTTCACACTTTCCGGGGTGGGGCGGCTGGTCACTACGATCGAAATCACCACTTCTAAAACGTTTGTAACTCGCGTTGACATGTCGTTCGGTGTTGTGAAACTTTGCGTCCGATCCCGTCAAACCCACAAACGACGACCACTATTTTTTTTTATTATTTTAAGAATGATTTCAACCTCGAAGGAAAAAATCTCTATAACTACTACTTTGTTGCATTACCACGCTCAATGAGAACAGAAATCGGACAACCTGCAAGAAAATAATGCACGCCAGAGTCAAAAGTGACAATAAGAAAACAAGAACAAGAAAGCGGTAGACGGCTTACATCGAGAAGTCCCCGGATCCGAACGATAATGCACTCGACGCCTCGAACAATTCGCTCGTACGGTGGGTTCTTCCAATGACTCGCACCGCTCACACCACCCAACGCTGGTGGCGTCTTCTTCAACTGACCTCCGCCGCTCGGGGGCGGTACGGAGTACTCAAGTGGTTCACCGGGGACCGCAGGACTCTTCCTAACACCTCCTGGGTTGGGTGTGGAACGCGCGAGGTGGATTGCCGCGGGGTGAACGGGCGCTGGACTCGGTGTTCCGGTCTCGTTTGGCGACGTGTAGTCGTCCGCAACGTCCACCTCATCTGTGAATTTAGAAAACAATCAACAACAGCATCACTGCTTTAATGCCAGCGCTACGCGCTTTGTGAACGTACTTCTCCAGTGGGTGCAAGCGTTAGCCCGTGGCGTGAATGCCGCGCTCCACGTCGGCTGTTTTGGTCTGATTAAATTATGACCAAGCGAATGAGTGATTTTGCGACGAACACACCAAAATCTCGCACAAGCATATTCTTGAGGGGTGAGTGCACAAATTGCACGGACTAACTTGTAGTTTTACCTGGAGAAGATCAATCCACATGCGCATGCTTTCCACCCAGAAGATAAGCGACCTTTCCATCGAAATTGGGATTCGGTCTGACCTGGGATTGATCTAACAAGGATGACCTCAAGAAGGCGGAAACCACTGCGACATCTCACTTCAAAGGGTTTCAGATTCAAGCTGTAGGACTGTCGCAATTTTACGAATGGAATAAGCGGGTAGTGTGATTGCCTTCCCAAGTCCAATTGCGTGTCTCCTAGCTGAATGGTAGTGTTCACTAATTGAACCAACGACCCTCTTGCACAAATGTTGTCCAAAAACACTCGATTCTGGTGAACGAGGCAGTCACGTGACCGGGCAATACCAGGGTCGTTAGGCGATGGAAATTTGAAATGTGAAATCCAGCCAAGTGAAGCCACTGCACTTCACCTGACGGCAAAACCAACGCAATGCAGGGAGTTAAACAGGTGAGACCCAACGTGAAAACACAGTTTAAACTAGGCTAGTGTTTAAAATGATCGCTGACGGTTTAAACCTCGTTCCCGAGCAATAGACGAACTTTTGCTGGATAGCAAGCAATGTTCGAAGAGTAATTACACCCGCATTTGGACGCGCCGTCGATCTGGAGACGTGATTTAGGCTAATTGGTAGTTTTGCGGAAATGCCGGCATCTCGTCACAATTCCGTTTGTGATTGGTGCAAGCAAATGACCTCAAGAAAGAGAACCAGAGATTGACTAATTTCAGGACAAACGTGTGGTTTGAGCCTTGGTGTGTGGGAGTGTGTTAGGCGTGTAGCAAGATTGTCGAAAAACAGGGTGAATGGTCGAGCTACTTTTACCCAAAACTGGACCAATCACCTTTGAAGTTCTGGAAAAATGAGCACCCCAAGTTTCAATAAACTCCGAGAACTTCCGAAATTCAGGCCGATGACCACAAAATCACCAAAGTTACCGACCAGCCTATGTTGTATCCAGCCAATTGCAGAACACCATCACTTAGTAAATCTTGCACCCAGAAAATGTGTCACAATATAAAAAACACCACAGATAACAGGAGGTACTAAAACACACAAGCAAATATCACAATTAATCATTATCATCAACAAGTCGCTACAAACGGGTTTGCGACAAAGTAGTTAGACGAGCATAACATCCGTACGCCGATGTGATGAAAACACCGCGATTGCAAGAAATGGAGGTGGTGATGTGTGTCAAACAAACCAAAAAAAATGAGCATAACGATTAATTCCGTGTTAAATTATCGAAAACGCCGTTGTTACTAAGGTGTGGAGACGCGTGTGTGAGCGTATTAAAACCAAATTTGAATTTGCAAGGCCACTGATCGACCACAGGAGGTAGCGGCAGCAGCAGCATCGTTGACGTGGGGGGTACTGTCGCCTGCACAATGAACGGAAATGAACACAACGCGTCAGAATGGCACCAAAAGAAACAAATGTTTTACGATTGCGCTAAAGCCCCTGCAAATCAGCCCAAGTAACCGTATTTCAAATAGACAAGTTCTACCATGCTGTTGAGAAGCCAAAATAGCCAAAGTGACTCACGCAACGCACTGCCAGAGGCAGACGTCTGCTGTTGCCTGCTGGACTGCTGCGGTCGGCTGGAAGGCGAAGCCTGATTTTGCAGGTTGACGTAGGCTCGCTGTGGCTGACTGCCAGCCGCCTGTTGCGCCTGTGCAGAGGCAGCGGTCGCGGACACCTTCGGCGCAGCGTCCGCGTCCACGGCGCCCGCCGCGTTGTTCCCAGGGGAGGCCGACCGACCCCAGAGGGAAATACCCTGACGCAGGAGGATCCCCGAGTCGAGACACTGGCTTCCCACGGCGTAATTGCTCGAGCCATTGCCAATACGTGATCCTGGGGTTGCCTTGGAGACGTCCTCGTTGGTGTACTCTTCGTCGTCTTCGTCGTTGTCGTCTACGGCACCTTCGGTTGTGGTGCGCTTGTGGGAGCCGTCGTGGGGAACCATGGACGGAGACGAGAGTGCAGCTTCATGGGTCATTACCATGCCAGCGGAGAAGGCTGCTTTCAAAGCGTTCTGGAAGAAGTTTACACACAGGGAGGGATGTTTGATTAAGCACTCGCGTGGTCTGTGGTGCAATACTCTCACCACAACATCAGTAACCCAGGACGTCACCACATTAGATGAGCAGTGAATTGTCGCATTTTCCGCCACACTGACCGCTCTCTTTCTTGGCGTCGTGCCGAGGCATTCAACAGACGCTAAAGGTAAGCATTCGGCTGATCGACGACAACATTGTGAGCTTGAGATCGTGAGGTGTTAGTGGTAGCCGTGCGCTTCAAACCCAATCTAAAACTACAATTAACGACACCATCACCAGAATCGACATCACAATTAACGCAACGAAGAAGGGATCTGGAAATTAAGCGTTGATTTTTATCACCTATTGTGTCGGTTGCTAACGCACCTCTGTGTTCAAAACCACCAGCTTCTTGCATATCACCAAAAGAGAAATATCGTTGGGTCACGAGCGGTTTCATAGCGAAAAACTCTAGACCACCTTAGAGCCAAGGAGTATTGGGTGACCTGAGCAAGCACACATATATCCTGTCACCGAGATTCGCCCAGACAACGCTTGAATTATGGAGACGCCATGGGAAGAACTGATGCGTGCGGCAAATCATACATGGGAACACAACATTTCCGTGTGTCACTTGAACAGTAACTTTAAGCTAAACTGACATTCTCCTCATTGAGGCGTTCACAGACTAGCTCCAATTCATTGACTCGCGCAGTGAGGCTGGACAACTCCCTGGCTGCCTTCGCAGCCTCTTCCTGAAGAGCGTGATTGGTCGCTCGCAGCTGCGCGATTTCACCTTGAGCCTCGAGGCAACAGAGTGCCGCCGCCTGCACCTCAACTGAAACCAACGCGCAACGCGGCAGAACTGGGTCCTGCGATTGGTGCAGCATCGTGGGACCGACACAGCGCTCCAGGGAACTGTGCGAGGACGACGCCGAGTTGACAGGGTTGTTGGCCAGCGGCTTGTGCAGTGCCGCAAACGACGGCCCGTGACTTGACGCCGGGACGCTCGCTCTACGAACGGGTAGAAAAGCCTCGAAGTGGTTGGTAGATGAAGACAAGAGAAGCATGTTGAGTAACGTACCGGTGAGCAGCGAGACGTCCCACCGCAGCGAGATGCAGTCGCCTGGATCCGGGAAGGTTGCCAGGACGTGAATCGATGCCCGGGGAGACGTTGGTGGTCTGGTGCGACGTCGAGTGACTCGGAGACAACCCCGAGGCGTTGGTTGTGGAAGACGACACGAGCACCTGTTGATCCGGCTTCGGCGGCTCTGTGACTGAATCGGTCGCCGGTGTGCTGTTGGCTTCAGAGACGGACGTAGACGGTGCAGCGGAGATACGCTTCACGGTGCCTCCCTCAATCTCTACAGCGACCTGGAATGCAAAATATACGCCAACTTAGACTATCCAAAGACTGTGGCGAATGCCGACGTGATGTTGTGGATTTTGCCGTATTGATTCAGCTAGATCCACTCAAAGAGTCTGGAATAACGCGCTGCTCCCTGAGAACTACATCGATTAGATCTCACCAAAAACCGCTACTCACGCAGAGGGCAGTGTCGCAAGCAATTAGCGCCGAAAACTACTCGTTTACATCCATCCGTGCTACAATGTGCGAGGCAGCACCAATCACGTGCCTATAAAAAACATTTTGGCTTCTCAAACATTCGACCGCCATTATCGACTATTTCAGCCAAACCCACAGCTCTACAGACGGGATCATTCTGAGAAAGATGAAATTCTTGGAAGTAAATTTTAGTCAGAATCGGAAACTAGTAAACACAGATTTGCAGTTTATGACAAAACAGACGTGCTCAAATGCACCAAGATTGCCTTGTTACCATTAGCAATAGAGTAACAATGCTTAATTCATTGAAAAAATACGCGCTAGAGTGAAATGTGTGCGCGGGAATTTCTTAGAACGCGTGCGCACACACACGAAAGCATAGCGCACAACATGCGAATCTGACGTCTGCCTGTGCTCGGCAGCCAAATACGTGCAAAGCGAGGGGGGGGTTGTGGCGAGGCCAAGGCTCTCACAAAAATCAAGTTATACCCACAACACCAGTGCTTTGAGAACTTTCGGTACCAACTTCACAACACCGCATATTGTCACACGCTCTTTCCAAGTAAACGCTCGTTTCTTCGTTAGGAGTGGCGAAAACGCTGCTGTCCAGTTCACTAAAACTAAACCTTCACAGTTACCTGGAAACGCCAATTTATGTGCTTTGATCCATACTAATCCTCAACACCAGCTAGTACCTAGACACTACGGACCTGATCGTAGACGGGATCATCCACGGAACCACCGCCGGCCTTGGATCGATTTCTGGGCACCACAGCGGCCTCGTCTTCACCATAACTGGTGTAGTCGTGATGGCGCTGTTTCGGCTTGACCACGGCGAGCGGCAGAGAGGTGGACTCGATCAGGGGCACAAGACGTCTGGCGGCTTCGTGGAGCACGTCGACGACGAGGTAGCGGAACTCTGTCATGGAAAGCCGGCCGAGTTTCTGGCGGGCCTGGTTGCGCACGGAGGAGTAGGCGGTGTTGGGGGGGAGGAAGAAGAGGATGAGGGAGGAGGGCTGCTTGTCAGGCCCCGAGGGAGCCACCGAGGTGCTGGCGGCAACCATGGAGTGAGGACGACCGGTGTTGCTTGGCGCCGATGTCGCGGGGACGGCGTTCGCATCGAAAGTGGGCTCCAGAAAGGAGTTGGTCAGGCGGCGTTCAGCCTCGTCGTAGACATCGATACAGAGATCCTAAGCAATTGGAAAAAAACGGACAGAGCTTGTTTAGAGGAAAACTTGGCGAGGAACCTGCATAGAAACAAACTTAGACGCACCATAACACGTTGCTGGAGAAATAACTCTAGTAACACGATGGATCATTAGCGGCTGTCATTATGTTTTGGAGAGACAAAGGCTCTTGAGTTTCGGGAAATTGAAATGGAAAAGTAGAGAACAGAGAACTTAGTCTGGCAAATATTGTCAACCGTTTGCTGCGACCTAGCACAATCTCTCAGGTAACGTTTGAATGCCACCGCGAAAGGAACTTGCAGATTTCAAGGCAGTCAAGTCATCATCGACGACGAAATTACCCACACCGTGGAGTGTTTTGGTAACTGGTTCTCCACCAAGGCGTGCTGCTGCTGCATTGAAAGCAGCAAACGGTAGTCAGATGGGGCCATATCTGGTGAATATAAAAACGTGTGGGGGAACTTCCCAGCCCACGTTCAAGAGGGTCTTCTGAGTCGCACAACCAACGTGAGGTGGTCGAGCATTGCCCTACAGCAGCGGCCGCAGTATGACATGACAGCTTCCTTGCCCAGTCAATGGCCTTTCCTCAGTTTGTCCAAAGGTCGGCTGTAGTGTTGTGCAGTCACCGTCTGACGACCAGTTTCCAGCGTTCGTTAGCAAGTACACCCTTCACGTTCCCGCACCAGATACACAGGAGGACCTTCTCCCCGTGGATTTTCTGTTTCCGCGTCGATGGGCTGGTCTGTCCAGGAACTATCCA